CTTGCACTCCAAGCCCTCTGGATCACGTTCGTTCCAAAAATCACGCTACCGAAGGTTTCATTCCGTTTGGAATCCGTTTGATATTCCTTTTCTTCGAAATACTGAAATAGACAAAAAACAGCAATACGGGCTGGGCCTCCGGTTAGTAGGTTAGTCCCAAAAATGATACAAATGTGTAAAATAAAGCTCGTAAACGTCCAAAAGGGGTAATATAATAGCATGGAACAATGAAAATTTATAGATACGTTGGAGACGTATCAATTTTCCTCCAATTCTAAAAGTTTCTGGTGATGTATGTTCTTTCACTAGTGTACACCCTTGCTTTCGTTGCTAATAATGCACGCATGCTCCACAACTAATCTTCTACTTGATCTCTAGCACGGCCGTGATGATTGATAAACCACCAAACAAAAGGAAAATTGCACATTTGCTAGCATTACAGTGTGAAGGATGCTCTGCTGCCCCAATGTGTCTTTTCTGTCAAAGCTTTCTTGTCAAATGTATGTGTTCAGAGTTGAATCAAAGTTTGAATAGGGCAAAGTTGCTAGCATTGCAGCAGTACGCCCTTCCTAACATATGTATTTGTGCTATTCCTCACGCCTCTCTGTTTGCTATGATTTATTGGTGCTCTGCAGAAGAACTCAACTCACTGGATGCAAGGAAGGAGATGGAGGGTGATACACAGCCATGGAGAGGAGCAGCAGCAGCTCAAGGTCCTTTCTCCTCCACGCCACCTCTGCCCCTATCTCGTTTTGATTTGCTATGTTGGGTTCCAAGATTAAAAATATTTTTTGTTTCCATCTTTATCCATGTGCAATCATTAACTCTGAGAAAATGTTATGTTTTTGCTGATTAGTGGCAGTACATCTTTGCTTTACTATTCCTAGCAGCTGTAGTTCATCTACCATAAACATGTTGTGTACATTATGAACCCCCAAACATGACACAAGTGATATGTATATGCAGCAGGGAATCGTCAACTTGTACAGTTTGTTGACTGGAATGTAACTTGTACAATTTTTTACTTGAATATGTTCAGTTATGAGGTCGTGTAGTTGTTTTTTCTCATCAGTTCTAAACTGCAGTACTTTACTAAATTGTTGATGATGCTGAATGAATCTAGCTTGTTGGATTTAGTCTCTTGTTTATATGGAATAGCACCCCATCACCTGTTGTTGTTGTTGTTGTTGTTGTTGTTGTTGTTGTTGTTGTTATTCACCCTATCCTTGTTGTTCTGTTTTCTTGTTGGCAGATATTTTGAGTAAATTCAAGACGAAAGATGTTCAAAGAAGCTCCAAGACATTCTTATATAGCAAGTTACGTAATAATAGCTGGGTTATCTGGGAATTTAATGTATATTCTCTCTCTTTGTGAATGAAATAGTAATTATGTATGTGAATTAATGTATCTTCTCTCTGTTTGTGAATTTCATGTATGTTTCAGAATTACAATTTTTGTTTCATATGAAATAGTAATTATGTATGTGATTTGAAAAATGAGTGCAATGGAAACATGACTCAGGCGACCCACTTATAAAAATAATTTGAGCACATTTGAAATTTCTGACGTGTGGGACCAGTGTATGATATTATGATAATAGGGACGAATGTAAAATAGTGGAAAATAAAATGGCAAAAAGTAAAAGAGCATACACTGTAAAAGGCCGCATCTAGAAATAAAAAGGCCGAATTGCTGGGCCAGGCCCATGTAGCTAGCAAAAATTAATAGGAAAAATAAATATTAAAAAGGCCGAATTAATGGGCTCGGCCCATATAAACACCGAATTGGACCGGGCTGACTCTTGTGCCACATCAGCTTGCCACGCTGGATGCCTACGTGGCCTGGGGAGGTTGCTAGTGACCAAAAATTTGGTCATGGAACGAACGACCTTTTACATATCACAAAGAAGGTCACTAATTTTAGTTTACGACCGCCAGCTTTTGACCTTCTATTTTTGGTCACAAAAAGGTCGCAAATGAAAAACTATGACCTTTCAGCAACCAATAGTGATGGTCACAAGTTGACATATTTCTTGTAGTGCTTCTTGTGTGTTTGAAAAACTTTGAGAAAAACAAAAACAAAAAAATTGTAGCTTTTAGCTAGTTTACTTTCCATGCTCGTAGTAGTAATATTAAAAGAAAACCGAAAAATATTTCCCGTTCTTCTTTTTGCTTGTTGGGAGCTTTCCCGTGTAAATAGTTTTAGTTTTCTTTGAATTTATTTTCTTTCCTTTGGGAGTCAAGAGGAGAAGACCACGATGAAAATGT